AAGAGAAAGAAAGAAAGAAAGAAAGAAAGAAAGAAAGAAAAATGAAGAAAGGTAGGGGGAAAGAGGAAAAAATAAATCGTTTTAGAAGTAGAAAGAAATATGAAAGGAATGATGGAAGGAAAAGAAGAAAACAGAAATAGAAAGTAGATAGAAGGAAGGAAGGAAATAAGGAAGGAAGGAATGAAAAGTAGAAAAAAGAAATAGAAATTAGATATAAGGAAGGAGGGAAGGAAGGAAGGAAGGAAGGAAGGAAGGAAGGAAGGAAGGAAGGAAGGAAGGAAAAGAAGAAAAATAAGTAAAAAATAGAAAGAACTTAAAAGGGACAGAAGGAAAAATAAGAAAGATAGAAAGTAAAAAAGTAGAAAGAAAAAAAGAAGGAATGAAGGTAGGGAAAAGAAAGAAAGAAAGAAAGAAAGAAAGAAAGAAAGAAAGAAAGAAAGAAAGAAAGAAAGAAAGAAAGAAAGGTCTTCATCAGACTGTCAGCTGTCAGTGTGAGAGTATCAGCAATAAAGGCTGTAAAAGAGCACAAACGAGCCTCGTTACTGCCAGGACACTGATTATCATAATGACAACAATAAAGCCCACGGTCGTTACCACGGTGACGATGATGATGATGATGATGATGATGATGCTGAGGGATTAATGCTGAGAGATAAATGAGAGCGATGCATCACACACCTCCCTGCAGCGGCACATGTGTGTGTGTGTGATGAATTATGGACTGCATGTGTCTGAATGCACATACGTGTGTTAATAAATCACACTCTGCATGACTCCACGCTGGTGCAGGGTGTGTTCCGCATGTATTAGATAGAAAAGATTCCAAGGTGAATGTCTTCTGCTCATATGTTATACTCAAACCAAAAGAAAAGGAGAACACTGTGACTGTAACTTAAAAGAAAGAAAAATAAAGTAAAATAATAAGAAAAAGTAAGATTGAGAAAGAAAAAGAAACAATGAGAGTGCGCCATATTGCACCAGACCGCACACAACACACCAGGGGTCTCATGTATCAACGCTGCGTACACACAAAAACTTTGCGTACGCCAGGTTTCACGCTCAGAATCGCTCACGTTTGGATTTACTAACGATGAAATGAACGTGGGAATGTGCGCTGCTCCACGCCAGCTTTATGGCTGGCGAACGCACATTTTTTGTGCGTGCGTTTTATTTCCATTGGCGACTCCTAGAGGCAGTTGTGTCAAATTGCACTCTACAAAGTGTCTGAGCCGTGTAATGGCAGCTATATGAGACGGGTTCATCTAACACAGGGGTTTTCAAAGTGTGAGGCGCGCCTCCCCTGGGGGGCGCCAGAGGATGTCAGGGGAGGCGCGGGAAAAATATTATATAATAAAAATATAATTATTAAGTTTAATTATTATATGTATTTTTTATTATATTTAAACGTTTTAATTAAACAAAGCTAAAAAAAAAATAATACGTCAAAAATAAGAAAACCTTTTTTTAACCAGAAGGCCATAGCTGTGAATTCGCTTCTGTTTGGCCTGCCAATGCAGGTATATGCCTGCTAATTATGCCTGCTAATACAATGGGTCGGTTTCTGAGACCCCCCGATTCAAAGCCGTCAAGTTCAGGGCTTAAACCCAAAAGACGACGATATGATGATCAGCATTTGAGTTTAGGATTTACGTGGACAGGACCAGCTGATGAACCACGACCTTTAAGTGTGGTTTGTCAAGATATTTTGGCTAATGACAGCATGAGACCCGCTAAACTTCGACTGTTTTGACTGGGATGGACAGTTCTTGGATCTGTTCTATTCATATTGAACCATCATCCTAGTTTTAAAAACGTTATATTAAAATACTTGTTATTACTCGTAAACTTGTAAATAATTGCACTTTCATGCAAATGATGATAAAAGTGAGTTAACAGTCTGACATCTGTCTGTGTCTTTATATATACTGTATATATATATATGTGTGTGTGTGTGTGTGTGCATGTTTGGGAGAAGGGGGGCGCCAATGGATAAGTTGTGTCAAAAGGGAGGCCCACTGTCTTAGACTTTGAAAAACCCTGATCTAACAGGTATATAAGGTTTTCATACCATGCAGTTGACCAGCCAAACATTAAAGCGCAATTTGCAGCGGTCACCTGTTTTCCCAATGTACTGGGAGCGATCGACTGGACGCACATTGCTATAAAAGGCACCACCTGAAGATGAATTTGCATACGCGAATCAGAAACATTTCCATTCAATAAATGTGCAAATTAAATATGATGCACAAACTTATTGATGATTCCTACTTGTCTTCCTCGTGATTAATAGTGGGCAAAATCTGATATGTAGCGGGGGGGAGAATGAATTCAGCAGATGCTGGATTCGAACCGAGTTCATGCTCGAACGTGTCAAAACATGATGACATGCGTCTTAGCTGCGCCACTCGGCTGTTAAGGGTATTGCATCATTTTGCACTTAGACATCTCACTATCTCTTTTTTAAATGCACTCCGATGTTCAGACCCAACTGTGTTGACCGCATCAGCTAAACTCTCCCACTCTATTTTTTCTTTTGTTGTTAATTCCGGAGGACAAACTTGCAAATAACACCGCTTTTCTCCGGTCTACCTCCGAAAAGAGCACCTCCAATTCACATTCTGTTCAAAGTTTCTCTTCTTGCTTGCTTTTGCCTTTGCTTTTTCGTTTGGTTTTGCCAAAGTAGAGTCATTAGCATATTCATACGGGGGAGGAGGCGGGGAGGGGTTTTGCGCTCAGTTTCACGTTCATTCAGATGTACAAAGAATATGCGTGAGACTCGGCGTACGCAGTGTTTCATACATCTGAATTTTCGGCGTACGCAATGTTTTAGTATGATTTCCACGCAAGTCTTCGTACATGTGGCCTCAGCTGATTGGTGAATGTGTGATGTCTGAATGATGAAGCTAATTATGGTATGGGGACAGACAGAGGCCAGTGGGCAAATTTGGGTTAAACCCCTCCTTTTTTTTTTTTTTTTTTTTTTTTTTTTTTTGAAGAACATCCATGGATTTTTAATGACCACAGAGAGTCAGGAGCTTGGTTTATCATCCCACCAGAAAGACAGCGCTCACTGAGCAGTATAGTACGGAGACCCGGAAGGGACGTGATGGTGGGGAAAAAAAATTGTGAGTGATAGGAAAACATTTACTAAGGTTTTTGGGTTCCCTCGCAAAGATTTAAAATAAACTGATCCCAGATCAGCTTCTGTACCCGCCATTTAAAGTAATGTAATGTGTATTTATATAGCGCATTTATTGTGTATGGCCATACACCCAAAGCGCTTCACAATCATGAGGGGGTCTCTCCACACCACCACCAGTGTGCAGCATCCACTTGGATGATGCGACGGCTGCCACAGGACAACGGCGCCAGTGCGCTCACCACACACCAGCTATTGGCGGAGTGGAGAGACAGTGATAGAGCCAATTCGGTTGAGGGGGATGATTGGGAGGCCATGATCGTAAGGGCCGATAGAGGGACTTTGGCCAGGACACCGGGGTTACACCCCTGCTCTTTCACGAGAAGTGCCATAGGGTTTTTAATGACCACAGACAGTCAGGATCTCGGTTTAACGTCTCATCCGAAAGACGGCGCCCACTGACAGTGTAGTGTCTTCTTCACTTTTACTGGGGCATTAGGACTCAAGCAGACCACAGGTTGAGCGCCCCCTGCTGGCCTCACTAACACCACTTCCAACAGCAAGCTAGCGTTCCCTAGTGGTCTCCCATCCAGGTACTGACCAGGCTCAGCCCTGCTTAGCTTCAGTGAGTAACCGGTCTTGGGCTGCAGGGTGACATGGCTGTGGTGACACCTCGGTTATCAAACAAGTGAGCAGTATATGAATCTACACAAAGGTGTTTTGTTTAATAACAGAGGTGTCTCTGTAAGAATGCACAGATCTATAATGAAAACATTCCACTACTTTAGAAACTGTTTGTGCTCATTTAAGAGAAAATTAGCTGTTTAAAATAAAATATGCCAGATGGAGATGTCACCTTCCTGCAGATTTCAGTTGCAACCCATATCAAACACACCTGCCTGTAATTATCACGTGGTGTTCAGGCCCTAATTAATTGGTTCAGGTGTGTTTGATATGGGTAGGAACTGAAATCTGCAGGAAGGTGGCACTCCAGGAACAGGGTTGGCCACCCCTGGCTTGGATTTTACGTGGATTTTTTACCTTGGAAAAGGCGTGATAGTGTCATTAAAAACTGAATTGGAAATGGCCTTATTTTAATATAGTTTGTCGTGAACTGAGGTGGGCCGGTCTAAGACTTGAAACTCCAGGGCTAAAAAAGAGTCCCACTCCGGCCCAGGATGCTAATATATAATATATTTGTTTCGGTAATTTTTTTGGTACATTTCTATTTCTGTTGGTGTGCGCGTGCGTGTGTGTGTGTGGGTGTGTGTTTGAGCTGATGCAATAATGTTGGTGCTCTGTGTTGATGTTTTGATGAAGCCCATGATGCTCTGGGGAGATTTGTTGATGCCGCTGTGTGTGTGTGTACATGTGTGTGTGTGTGTGTGTTTCAATGAATCTGAACATTTTTTACCTCAATGATGACATTCTGATGACATGCTGCTGTAAGCGAGCACATGAAAATGAGCGTGTGTGTGTTTGTGCATGTGTGTGTGTGTGTCGTTCTGCACAACCGAGCGAGCGCAGAGAGAAAACATCTGTCAAACGTGTCTGAAGTTTCATTTGTGGCGGATCATCAACATAATGATGGAAACAACAAGCCATCGGCCTCTTTGCGTGTCTGTGTTTGTGTGTGCGTGCAGCAGATTTATCAGTGTATCCGGTGTGTTTGAGCTCCTGAGACAGTAACAGGTGGAGATTAATGCTCATATTCCTAGATGCGTGACCTCCAGTAGGCCTTCATAAGTCAGTGTCTGTTTATCCGTGGTGAAAACCAGGACTGCGGCTATGTAGGCTAACTCGCTATCCTTCATGTTGTTTGTTTAGATCATAACCTGTGGCTGCTTTTGTCTCTTCTTAGACGGAAGACGTGACGCAAACGGACGTGTTGATTTCAGAGTCCACAGAAAAGCAGCAGCCCAAGCGGCTACACGTCTCCAACATCCCCTTCCGCTTCCGGGACCCTGATTTACGGCAGATGTTTGGGGTGAGCTGATGCATATCATTCATTCATTCATTGATTTTTCTTTGGCTTAGTCCTTTATTTATCAGGGGTTGCCACATTGGAATGAACCACCAACTATTCCAGCATATGTTTTACGCTAGCCAGCTGCAACCCAGTACTGGGAAACACTTATACACTGTCATTCACACACAGACTCATACACTACGGCCAATTTAGTGTATTCAATTCACCTATAGCACAAGTTTGGTCTTGTGGCAGAAGCCAGAGCAGCCGGAAGAAACCCATGCCAACACGGGGAGAACATGCAAACTCCCTACAGAAGTCCCAACTGGCCCAGCCAGGACTCAAACAAGCGACCTTCTTGCTGTGAGGTGACAGTCTGATCCACCGTGCCACCCCTATTCACATTATCTGATGGCCTAAAAATGATTTACTGGAGATTCCCTGTTTGACTGATTCAGAGGTGAACTTTAAAGGCGACCTTTTTTTGTGTCTTTTACAAGATGTAAAATAAGTCTTTGATGTCTCTGTAGTGTGTGTGTGTGAAGTTTCAGCTCAAAATATCACACAAATCTTGTTTTATAACGCTCTAAATCTGCCCCTTTTAGGCTTTGATACTAATTGTGCCATTTTGGTGTCTGCCGCTTTAAATGCAAATGAGATTGTGCTCTCATAGGGCGGAGCTACAAATGCATAGTGTGTGTCAGCATAGTGGCAGATTCGAAAGCAGGACTAACGTCCAATGCTAATGAGAGAGAGATCGTCACTAGTGGGCGGGGCTGTCCCCCTCTGATGACGCTTACAAAGGATGCCAATCAAAGTGTTTCTGCAGACTGTTTTCATCAAGCGTGATTATAATAAAAAAAATTATACATCAGTTTACACCATTAGAAGCTGGTTATATTCACACTGCTGCCACACAACTGTTTAAACCACGTATAAAAGGGATTTTTGCATACTAGGACCCCTTTAAGGATTAAAAAAGGTGACTTACAAAAAAATAAAGGTTTATGAAGAAGAAAAAAAACGTATGTAAAATGTATACACTCACTGGCCACTTTATTAGGTACACCAACAGCTTATTAACTCATATTTCTAATCAGCCAATCACATGGCAGCAACTCAATGCATTTAGACATGGTCAAGACGATCTACTGCAGTTCAAACCGAGCATCAGGATGGGTAAGAAAGCGGATTTAGGTGAATTTGAACGTGGCATGGTTGTTGGTGCCAGACAGGCTGGTCTGAGTATTTCAGAAACTGTTTATCTACTGGTGTTTGCACGCACAACAATCTCTAGGGTTTAAAGGGAATGGTGCGAAAAAAGAGAAAATATATCCAATGAGCGGCAGTTCTGTTGGCGCAAATGCCTTGTTGATGCCAGTGGTCAGAGGAGAATGGCCAGACTGGTTCCAGCTCATAGAAAGTAACTCAAATCCATCCTGTCTTCGGTATTAACTGTTCAGGCTAGTGGTGGTGTAATGGGGTGAGGGATATTTTCTTGGCACACTTTCGGCCAAGATTAGTACCAATTGAGCACTGTGTCAACGCCACAGCCTACCTGAGCATTGCTGCTGACCATGTCCATCCCTTTATGACCACAGTGTACCAATCTTCTGGTGGCTACTTCCAGCAGGATAATGTGCCAAGTCATAAAGCGTGAAGACTGGTTTCTTGAACATGACAATGAGTTCACTGTACTCAAATGGCCTCATCAGTTTCCAGCTCTTAATCCAATAGAGCACCTTTGGGATGTGGTGGTAGAGAGATTCGCATCATGGATGTGCAGCCGACAAATCTGCAGCAACTGCGTGAAGCTATCATGTCAATATGGAACAAAATCTCGGAGGAATATTTAAAGTACCATGTTGAGTTTATTCCATGAAGGATTAAGGCAGTTCTGATGGGAAAAGGGGGTCCAGCCCGAAACTAGTAAGGTGTACCTAATAAAATGGCCAGTGATACACAACAACGTAATTATGGATTGAGCATAAAACAATCATGTTGTCCCAGAAAAACTCAAGAATTGTGCTGTTTCAGCTCATTTAAAAATAAGTAGTTTGAACAACCAGTGAATGTCATTGTTTTAAATGTAGTGATATTACTTTAATATCTCAGTATTGTTAACATTGAGATTAAATATCAATATTTGAATAAAGTTAAATACCCAGGCTTTCATACTGTAAAAATAATTCCACACCATTTAACCCAACTCAAATCCATTAAGTTAACTTTATCATGCCACTTTTAAAATTCTGCTCCTGGTTCTTAAATAACTAAATGGCCTGGCTCCTTCCTACCTGTCAGACCTGTTGACTGAACATCAGCCTGGTTGTTCTCTTCGGTCATCTAACCAGAGACTATTATACATCCCAAAGTCGAGGCTGAAATCCAGCGGTGACCGGGCTTTCACAGTACCTTGTGAAATGCTCTGCCTCTCTGTATTGTACTGTACTGTTGTATAAACGCAATATCACACTCGTAGCAGTGCGATATGGCTGTATATCGGCATTGGTGGAGGCACTAAGGCAACTGAAAAGTTGTTTTCAGGGTGTGACAGACTTTAAAATGTCTTGGTTTCCTGAGCCCTGACAGTCTTTAAAGTAATGCAAATTGTCAGTTTCACAGCACAGCAGTGTCTTTTGTTTTCTCCAGTCAGTCAACTGATTGGGCGGTTTCTGCCTCCAGAACATCATTTGCACACTGTTTCAATGCTAAAATGTATTATGAATGGGTACTTGGAAAGGCATGTCACCCTGCTGATAACAACACTTCATTTGCATGCTTTGTTTTTGTTTTTGACTGTCTCCACTTAGGCCCCGTTTACACTAGTGCGTTTTAGTTTTAAAACGGCGTTTTAGAATGAAAACGATCCGCGTCCACACTCGCGTTTTACCCAGCGTTTCTGAACTGCTCTCCGTCCACACCAAAACGCTGAAAACGCACATCACGTGACCACACACACACTCTCTGGCAAGCGCTGCAGCTCATCTACCCAGATGAGAGCTCTGCTAGTCGGACTTCTCATCAAGCAGCTCCCGCTGGATCTAATCTCACTATATTTATTAAACGGGATATTTCATTCATCTTGTTGTCTTTATCTAACGACATATTCCCTGACTTTGGTCATTAGAATCTTACTTTTTCTTAGGTAACGTGTTTTGGCTGAGCGCAAAGATAAGTTAATGATTAATGTAACCACGTAGCCTATTCTGTATATTGACTGATCGCTTGCCTTTTTTTTCTATAATGTAAAAACTTATTGTATGTTATACTTTTATAATGGCCATTATCGATTATTAAAACTGATATTCAGCAAAAGAGAGGGTGCGTTTCGTATTTTCACTGAAATTGAAAGGAGGCAGTTGTTATCGGCTCCGTTTTGTTATAAATATCCACACAGTGAAGATGACGCTCATATATGCAGCACGACGCCTCAACATTTCTTCTGTCTGTTTAGTTGCTAATATTAAAATGAAAATAGGCAGTTCCTTAAAACATGTTTACATTTTATTGTTGAGAAAGTGAAACAACGTATCCAGGGTGATGTGAATGAAGTTATAAAGTACACTGTTCCCTTTGAAGATTTACCCGTATCCTCGGTATAGTCTGTTTTCCATATCAAACTGAGAAGAAGAGATGCAGCCTTGATCAAACATGCGAAGTCTGGACTTACACGGAGAAAATGCAGGACTGAACTGTGCGTGTTAGGCTACTTAATATTCAGGAAAAGCCCCAATCAGAGAGGCGAATGTCAGCAGCCCCGCCTCCGTTTTCAGATGTCTCCGTTTTCCATCATCCACACTGAGACGGAGCAGCAGCGTTTTAGAATGAAAACGGCTTCTCCAGCGTTTTCGAAACGCTCCGTTTTCGGCGCTCGAGAACTCCGGCGTAGTGTGGACGGTTGGCGAAACCGTAGCAAAACTTATGCGTTTTCAAACTAAAACGCATTAGTGTAAACGGGGCCTTACATGTACAAAAGTTTGGTGCCGTGAGCCAGACTAGAGAAATTTACAACAGAGTGCAGGGCGTCCTTCTTTTTGTTCATATGTCTGTATTATACACACTCATTATGTACAGGGAGACGAGACAGTGAATTGTGTATGATGTTACCCTTTAAACACAGAAATAATGTGTTTAAGAGTAACACTACCTAATAATTCTGACTTTAACTCTTTGTGTGTTTTTCTTGTACGTCTTTGTTGTCTATTGTGTACATACTGTATTTAACTGTTAAGCCTGTACATACGTTTTCCACTCATCATACAGTAGCACACATGCTGGTGATGATGTGACAGTAAAACAGATTGGACTTGATAATGTACATGAGGTAAATCACATGACCACAGGCACAGTGTGTGGCCATTGTTTCTGATTTGCTGTAAATGCGCTCGGTCCACATAATGAGGCGTCAGCAGCAGGCCTTGTGTGGCTCAGTGGTAGAGATGATGTTGATTACAGCACAGGCCGCACACAAATTACACACAACATGCTCTGTGATGGCCAGATTATTGTTCTGGCAGGTGTTTGTGTGTGTGTGCAGCATCAGTGCAGTAATGAGCTCGCAGTTCTGCTGTACAGTTATATATGATGCAAACTCGCACACAGTATGGATGGCTCATTATGGTCATTTCTAACCAAGCCGGGCTAGATTAAAGTCTGTGTGAAATCAAAACTGGCGATGTTTATTTTGCTAATGCACATTGTTATTCTTCAGTTGAACAATTAATATGTGCAAGTTAATCTAATGTAAAAATGTGTGTGTGTGTGTGTGTGTGTGTATATTTGGTTTTGGTAATCTTCAATCAGAGTCTGAGCAGTCGCTTCAGTGTTTGGAGTGGGCGGGGCTTATCTGATGTCAGTTTGTTGTCTCACCCGCAATATTCTTAGACACGCCCTATTACTGTTAGTTTGCTATGATGAAATGATGTGGAAAAGAAAGCCCCGCCCACCTACTTAATATTCTGTTTGAGTTCCGAATACATCAAATACTGGGATAAAAGTCTCTACAACTTTTGTTT